GAAATAAACTGTTTTAATAATTTGAAAACTCTGTTTTCCCTTGTATTTATTATGTTTTTATGATGCTGTTTTTTTAATTTCACTTTGAAAATCAAAGTAAAAATGCAGATTTTGTATTTTTCAGCATACATTTTATAAGCAGTAAGTCTTGGCTGTCAGATCTCTAAGCTGCTGCCTTTGCACACATTACCTGTTAGCTTTCAGTTTCCTGATTGGATGGATTCTGTTTAAGTTGTCTTTGACAGAATTAGGTCCCCGCAGGAAATTGTGTGGGGTAAGACCTGAGTGAAGGATAAAGTGGAACAACAAGAACTGTGACATTAATTCCCTTAGCTGTGCTGATGCAAGCTCCTGCTGGATCATGAACCATTTAAATCCAACAACCCCTGTCCTCATTAAAACACTTTCCTGAAACAAGTTGTTCTCAGGTTCTTAAAGAGAAATGGGGGTTCATAGAAGTTTATTGATCTCGAAAGACAAATTAGATCAATTTATTCACAAAAGTTACAAAAATTATCACACTATTTTTGCTCATCTTGAAGCCTGGATGTCAAATAAACAAATGACCTGATTGTGTTTAAAGCTAAAGGTAATAAAAAATAGTTATTGTAGCTTGTTATTGTCAGGATTTGCATTTTTTGTTGTCTTTTTTTTTAATTCTTTTTCAGTATTATATTTAGTTTCTAAACTTTGTTCTGTACTTCTGTGTTGTCCTGTGCCATCAGTCCTTTTAACCAGTTTTCCTCAGCTTCTGCAAAGCCCACCTACACCTGTTTTCCTTTCCTAATAGTCTCAGCTATCTAGACAGAAAGGTTAACTGGAAAACACATGTAAATAAAAAGTTCAAGTTCAAGTTTATTTATATAGCGCCAAGTCACAACATACACTGTCTCAGGGCACTGTACATAAAAAGAATAATCTAAAGAAGAAATCAGCAGGCTGTGTTGAATCACTTCATCACAGTCTCCCATCCTGAGCAAATGATGGAGAGGAAAACCTCCCTGCTAATCAGGAAGAAAACTCCGGCAGAACCAGGCTCAGGACAGGCGGCTATCTGCCTCGACTGGCTGGTTGAGGGACAGGAAAGAGACACAGAAAAACACAGAAGAACTGGTCCGGGACAGGTCCAGGTGCACCTTCTTCTGGAAGAGACAAAAAAAACCATGATAGAAATAATTACAATAAACATATAGAGAAGAGAGACTAAAGACAACAGCAGAGTGAGGAAATGTGGTCAGTTTGTGCTCCAGCAGTCTAAGTCTACTGTATAGCAGCAGAAATGAAAAATAATGCAGGAAACCTAAGTCTAACTATATAATTTATCAAAAAGGAAAGTCTTCAGTCTAATCTTAAAAGTAGACAGAGTGTCAGCTTCACTGACAGAAACTGGAAGTTGGTTCCACAAGAGAGGAGCTTGATAACTGAAAGCTCTGCCTCCCATTCTACTTTTAGAAACTCGAGGAACCACAAGTAAACCTGCAGTCTGAGAGTGAAGTGCTCTGTTAGGAAAGTATGGAACAATAAGATATTTAATATATGATGGAGCTTGGTTGTTAAGAGCTTTGTATGTTAGGATTAATATTTTAAATTCTATTCTAAATTTGACAGGGAGCCAGTGGAGAGAAGCTAAAACTGGAGAAATATGATCTCTTCTTCCAACTCTCATTAAAACTCTCTCATTAAAAAGTGTAAGAAGGTAGCATTGTGCCTAAACCAGTGCCATAGAATTGCAGGTAGTCATTGGGGTGCTACCACAAAGGTTATCAGATGGATCTAAATGGCCATAGTCCACCCCATGTTATGCTGCTTTATTGTGGTGGGTTTGAGTTCAAGTTGGGGTGGCAAGCGTGGTGATCATCCATGTGCAACGAATGGCCTGCTTAAGCATCCCAGGTTCCATCAGAACACCCACAGCAGCCATGGAAGTTTTACTGGACCTGGCTCCACTAGAGGACTTAGGAATCTTTAGGACAGAGATTGACGACAGGTCTGCCTGGAGGGACCTCTCTATGGTGGACATGTCTCCAAATTATTTCTACTGTTTTACAGATGCATCCCTTCTGAGGGGATCCATATGCAACCATAGCGAGAGAGAGTACACTAGGTGGTTTTGCAACTGTATCTCAAACGGAGATATACTGTATGCAGTCTACTGTGTGGCATCTCTCAAAGACCTTCAGAGTACAATGGCTAAGCTGCTATTAGACCTCTCATTATTAGCTTTGGAGTGTGCCCAAGCAGTCAATCAACAGGGGAGAGACAACTGTTCAATGGGTACCAGGCATCAACGGTAACAAGAGAGCTGACTACCTTGCAAAAGCTGGCAGTCAGGTCCGCTTCATATGCCTGTTGTAGGTACCTCAACAACAGTCTGCAGGACTGCCCTACAGGTCTGGATTAGACATCAACACTCAATCTGCTGGAGGGAGCTGATGGACTTTTGACAGGCACTGGAACTGATAAATGGTCCAAATCTTAGGTTTGGGAAAGCTCTCATCGCTCTGACAAGGAAAACTCTAAGTACACTGGTTGGTGTCCTAACTGGGCACAACCTGCTCACAAAACCCACAAAATGGTGATGGGACCGACAATGGTCTGTGTGATGCCTGTGGTACTGAATTAGAGACCTTTTTGCACTACTTAGGCTATTGTTCGGCTCTGAGCGGTCAAAGGAAAATAATTCTTGGGGACCCCTTTATGGATCCTGTGATGCTCAGAACACTGTTTCTAACCTCGTGTCCTTTATGTGAAAAATGAGGCTTGATTAAAGCTCAGTGTCTTTTCGGGGAGAGCAATGGGCCCACTTATGAGGCCCCCGCTCATTTGGGTTTTTTATACATCCCCATCACCAAACCAAACCAATAGTCTCAGCTGCAGCCACTTTTCTTATCACTACATTAATAAACCTTCTAGTGTGGTTTAACTAACCGTAGAGTCATCCTTAGAATCTGTAGAATGAAAACTGACACAGACTGGATCTTTAAGACAAAAACAAGTAGAGTTTTTTTTTTTCAGATCAGAAACCCGAAATCTCTTCCTCAGCATTACCAATTCCAATGTCAATTCAGGTTAACAATTTTGTTTTCTTTCAAAATTGCTGTTATGATGTACTCAGAATTGTTATTGTGCCTAAAGCTGTCATAAAATGATTTGCAGTTTTGGTAAAAACAAATGGCTTTAGAAAATTTGGGGGTGTATTTTCAATAAATATGTACCTAACTATGGACCTGCCCCATCCTGGAACATAAAGTTGGAATCTAGTTGGTGGACAAAGTGAGCATTAAGTTGCAGAAGAGCTAATATATTCTCAAGAGTCAGGAAAGGTCAAAGCAGAGACAACAATTCAAAGGTGTGTCAGCAATTATGCTCAGTTCAGACTCCTTACTTTACAAACAAAACATAAGGTGCAGTTTTACCATTTTCATGATTCACCAAATATTTTCTTTTTGTGTGTAACGCGGTCTCTAACAATGATTGTATTCATCATTTTATAGCAAAAATGAGTCTAAAGTCAGAATTTGGTTCAGTGTCAAAAGCCAGGAAAGAATAACTTTAGTTCATTATCAAATTGTTTCTTGGGAGAATGCTGCTATTTTGCTGCCTCCCAGTGGTCAAGAGAGTTAAGTGACACTAGAGGTTAAATTTGAAGTGAGGAAATTTTCTGTCTCCCTCCTCAGGTAGAGAGAGCAATTACACAATCCCTATTAGACTATTTAACTATCCATTGATTCTTTTACCATCTTGTTCCTGTTCAGGGCCGTGGCTCATATTGTCTTCAGTGGGAATTGAATGAAAGGCAATGTACACCCAGGACCATTTGCCAGTCTAATACAGAGACAAAAAGGCAACATGTTCACACTCAGACCAAGTGATAACTTAGAGTAGCCGATCAAGCTAACGTGCATGCCCTTTGAACCGTGGGAGAAAACTAAAACACCCAGAGAAAATGCACAAATACACCAGGAGAACATGCAAACGCCACACTCAGCTGGGAGACAGCGTGTAATCTTTTTGCTTAAAGGCAACCAAGCTAAACGACTGCATTTCATTCACTTTATCTGACTCAATGAAAGCTCCAACAAGTGAACAAGTGGATATCTATTGGTTTAAGGTCATAAAATATCAAGTAACGAAGTCTTCAAGTGAGGGAGTTCTGCCAAATATCAGGCTTTCCACTACTGAAAACAGACTTGCCTAAACCATGCCAGCTAACTAGAACACAGCAGAGTGAAGCCTGTTCAAGACTGGCAAGGATCGGGATGCCATTTTAGACCAACTTCTCCTATAATCAGATTCGCCATGGTTGTTTTATGTGTCTTGGAAGCAATTCTAAGGGAATCCTTCAGCCGTTGACCAAACTATCCCTCTACAAGGAGGAATCCCCAACAGGTTTTACAATATGTTCTTATTATTTTCTAGTGCTGCTGACCGCATCTGGAAGGTGCTGATGGATGTTTCTGGAGCCAACATTTGAGGTTTCATCTACTTCTACTTCAAGACCACCTTATATGTTGCTGGTGCTTCAAAGGGATGACAATTCCAAAAATCATGCTGATAGGAGGACCAAGCAAGGTATGTGGACCAATGAAATGATTTGAGTTACTCTACTATAAACAACTAAGTTCCTGTGATCATAAACGATAACATAGAAGGATGGAGGTTTGGGTCATCAATCCATGTGACCTTAATGATCTGATTATTGTGATTGTTATAACAATGAATTTAAAGTCTCAACCTCCCAACTCATGATTGGAACCAAAGAAGTCTTTTGGATGGGAGGTGAAATGTCTTTGAGAAACCAGAGAAGAGGTTCAGTTGTCTTCTTTTTAACCATTTAGAACAGTCATATCTTAAATAACTGAGGATCTACACCAATGGATTATCTTCCTATAGACAAACTACATGTATGTAAATAAAATTTTGGTCCTCATTACCAGACTGCATCTTTGACCAAGTAAATGAGAAAATGCAACAAATGCATTGCCCTCACCCATTTCGCTTGCTCTTGCCTGCTTTATAGTTTATTAAATGACAGTTGTTTACTACTTTGTTTACAAATTCTAACTCTATAAACCCAGTGAACATGGTTCTTAGTAGGGTCATAACAAAATATTATTTTTAATGGTAGCTGACGTTACCAGGCATGCTGTTGGGTTTGGAACGTCCTTGTTTTGTTCCCAAAATGCAACTTCAGGCTGTTACCATGTTTTATTTGAAGACACACACTGTGAACATGCTCATTTATGTTTTCAGCACTAAATTTGTCCTTATGAATACGTCATAGATCTGATTTTATTTCACTTCCAGAAACTATCCACAGCAGGAAACTTGATGAAAGGGGGAAGTTTTCTGCAACCAGAAATAAACAAAATCAGGTCAGTACAATTTGCAACACGTGGCTCAGATTTACTTATGAGTTGTTGCAAGACGCTAAGATGTACACAGTATTTTAAATTAAAACACGAGGGACAGGCACCAACTCTGACTTGCTTCAGGTTGATGGCATAGAGTTGATTCCCAGAGTCTTGTTATCTGGCTGGAGATAGGTTTGATGGTTACTTATCTGAGACCTTCCTGCCAAGGCAAAAGTTGAGTTCGGAAGTGAGTGCAGACCTTTCTGTTTCTGTCCATTGTTTTAGTGAGAATAACTAAGCACTGAGTATGTGACTTGGTACCTAACATACTCCTCTGTGAAGTATGCCTGCACGATTCTTTAAATTTCTGTGATAGTAGAAAGTCAATGTTTAGAATGTCATGGAGCCCCTTGTCTCTATTCACCAAATATTCCCTCTCTTTTTCTTCATTTATGTTTCAAAGGTCATTTGACCAAAACTCCTGTCCAGGTGCACTATCAACAGCAGAACTGGGTTAAGGTGAGTTGTGCTTTCTTCTCTGGCAAAATTAATTTTTAAGAAACAAAGGTTAAAGAAGGTGGGCACAGTGTGCACAGGCTATGAATTAGTTCATAGTCGACCTAAAATATTAGTACTCTAGTTTAACTGGCCTTTTGGTTTGTGTTACTGTCAAGTGTCAGGACATGCACTGATCAGTATGCCTAAACATCAGTTGCAATTCCAAAGGCTTTCAAAGACATGAGTCTTAATGATAGAGACATCATTAACTTATTCATTTGTTACTTCATTAAAATGATATAGTTTTTGCAAAGATAATTAAAAAAATAATAGACGTCCTTAACAACTTTGTTAACAAGTTTTACTTATTCATACCTACATAAAAATGGTCTAGTGCCCTCTGCTGACCAAAAGTGAGCAGCTGTAAGAATTCTGGTTTCATGCACGGAGCAGTGGTTAGAGCTGTTGCCTCACAGCAACAAGGCTGCAGGATATCCTCCTGTGCTTTGTCTGGAGTTTGCATGTTCTCCTCGTGGGTTTTCTCCGGGTACTCTGGTTTCCTCCCGTAGACCAAAAACCTGCATGTCAGGTAATTAAATTGTCCCTGGGTGTAAGAGGGTGAAAGGTTGTTGGTCTCATGTGGCCTTACGATGGACTTGTGACCTGTCTAGTGTGTAACCCACCTCCTGCGCAATAAACCCGCTCCCTTGCTAACCAGAAAGGAAAGGAAAGAAAATGGTTGGATGTTTTAAGAAAGTAGAAGAGAGACCACTAAAGAAAGAAGCTGCACTTGTTTGGCATTCCCAACACTTGGGACAAATAAATGTCCTGGTGTATTGCTTACACTGAACCCTCAATATCTTTAAAGTATACAACTAAACATATAATGCGTCTGTCAATTATGTCTGTTTGTGCAATAATGCAAATTAACTGCATGTGTTTAATTATAGATCTTTAACGCCTGTACCCAAATAAGGGATTTTTCTCAATCTAAAGTTGGCAACAGTTTTGGTTTTTGAAGAACCGAAGTATGTGAATGACAGATTAAATCCACCATTACAGTAAAGTAGGGACAGTTTAATTGTATTAATCTATGTGAACCTGCTTTGTACTTAAACAGCGCCACCAGGAGGCAACAACTGAGTCTTGTTCTGAATGGACATTGGCAGTTTACCAGTCTCATCTGTTAGGCTTTCTTAGAGGTCATGTGAAATATTTGGACATCTGTATAAATTATATAATGCGTTACATTTTTGGAATTTAGCAGTAATATAATTTTAATTATAAACCAGGAAAAAGCTGATAGATTATTTTAAATATTTGCTAAATAATAAAAAAATCTTTGCTTTAGAATTTTATTTATGCAAGGTTTTATTATTATTATTTTAATAAATTGTAACGAGGTGTACAACACTAATGTCAGGAAGTTCCTTGTTGGATGTATGGACAATTATTACGTTTAAAATAACTTGTAGAATAGATGCTTCAATCCTTATTTTTTGCTAACGTGATTAGCAGTTATGTTAAATCTCGATCATATGTTACGTTTTTGTGTGTTTTTAATTATTTTAAACACAAATTACTGAATTGATCAATTGACCTCCTTTGCAATAGAGACAAAGTCAAAAGTAAAGCTCTGGGAGAAGAGATGATTCTGGAACAAGGCACTTCTGATGTAACGGAGTTATAAAAGGTAACTGGGGCTGTCGTAATGGGATCATCCTGTGGATTTAAAGTTGTTTGAAGTGCTGCGTACGTTGGAGCGCAGATCCATGTTCTTTAAAATGTCCATTAAAGCAAACCTAACAGTATGTTCATGGTTTATGTTATTACATAGCAAAAGATAAACTGATACATCCTTAACAAGTTTAGATGTATTGTAACTGATATCCATTAAAGTTAGCTCTAATGGGTGTCAATAACAATGGTAAGGCTACATGAACGCAAATTACATTAAATACTAGATCCAGCATAGTGATAACTAATTTTATTACATCAGGCAATTGTCACACTGCTAATTAGACATTTTTTGCCAGCTACTCGGGCCTTTAATTTGAGTCAACTGCGATGGTGCAATCCAGACTAGTCACTTTTCTTTTTTGCAATTATTCAAACTGTTCTAAAGCAGACCTAGATACGTGCACGGTTGTTACGTGGCAGGATTGGGTCGTTGTTTCTGCACTAATCTTTTCCACTAAGCTTCACTTTGTTGTTTACTGTTTACCTGAGGAGAGAGTGTGAGAGCGGTTTGTCTCCGTCCGGTCATGACACCGAGCGAGACGACTCCGACTGACACTTTAACCCACTGCAGAGGATTTGAAGGATTGGTAGTGAAGTGAAGGATTAGGATTTCCGTGGCCCACGGCACACAGTGGGTCTGTGGGTCAGTGTGTTAGTGTATCAGTGAGTCAGTAGGCTTTTATTTTTTCCCCCAAAGTAGGTCAGCTATCTGCTTTCCATGGGTGGACGTAAGACTGGAACTTCCTGGTGTCACGTTGGGCTCACCGGCTCCCATGTTTACATCAAATTGTCCTCCAGCACATGGTCTGAAACCATCACACGTGCACCCACTTTCTCAGCTTTTCACCATACTCTTCACCAAACAGAAATAACAAGCTTCTTCTTCCCAGGGGTGTTGGATGAAGAGAATCTGTTGATTTAACTCATTTATAACCAGTCACATTCAATGCAGAGACAAAATTACAGCTCAGTTATCATTTACTGAGACATTTACAGTTTTAGACCTTTTTCATTTGTAGATATGTACCTGCTATTCAAGTCTGATCAAGTTAAAATACAATATTTAAAAACGTAAACATGTGCAGGTAATAATCAATCTAATGACATACATGTCTTTGTCTATTCAATGTCAAAATGTCACAATCAAAGCAGAAAGACTTTTAAATAGAAATAGAAGGTTTACCAAACTGCACCAAATTACAGAAAGTATCAGACAGTCTGTAGAGTTTTATATTATTTCTGCTGAATGTTTCCTTTAGCTTATAGTTTAGTTTTCAGCTGATTAGATAAATCTGAAGACGTTTTTGAAAGATGACGTTTAATTTTCAAAATTTTTAAAAAGTATTTGCAAACCACTTTCTTCCAAACCCATCTCCAGGAACAGCAAATGACTGGATGAGATGGATTTTATGAGTCAGAACACTACATTGCTCAGAATTGTTTTAATCTTTCAAAGTCAATAAGTAACTATTTAAAACAGTAAAAAAATAA